TACAATGTGGTGAAGTAATTTTTTCGAAATTCGATTTAGTTTTTTTTTTTTTTTTTTTTTTTTTTTTTTTTAATTTAATGTCGAAACGATTTTTCACGCGTATCTTCGTTTAACAAACAATAAACGAATAGTTCCGCTATGGATTCTCCCGACTGGGATCGGGAATACTTAAAGCTTATATTTAGCTACCATGTACCTCAAAACTTTATTGTTGATGCAGTGGTATAGTGCGGAAAAGAATCTCTTAAAAGAAGTATTCGAGATATTAATGTAATTTCTGTTTGTTTTTGTTGGGGGGGGCAGGGGGTCAAAAATCGCTGGATTTTTTTGATCATTTGACGTAATATAAAAGTTTAAAGCTCGCTATTCATTGTTCAAAAATGATTTCTCAATTAAATAACTTGATTGGTAATGTGTCATTCAGACTAAAAAAAATTAAAATAAGAAAAATTATTTTATAAAATAAAAGCTTTTATTTAAAAATTAATGAACTAAAAAGGGAAAAATATAATTGAGTTTAATGAGAACAAGAAATTTAAATAATTTTCTTTGCAAAATTCATCTGCAATTTACTGTCGCAAATACTTAAAATTCCTTGTGTTCATTCAGCCACCACAAAAGCGGAATCCAAATAACTGGTGGCAGAATAAATCTAATTGCTATTCACTTTATAAATTTATCAAGGGCGCCCCCATCTTATATATTCGTGATATAAAATTATGGATGAATTTTTAAGGAGAATTATTTAATCTCTTGTTCGCATTAAATTATACGATAAATTATTTTCCCCTTTTTAATTCATCTTTTTTTTTAATAAAAGCTTATTTTATTTTTAAAAAATCTTATTTATTTATTATTATTATTCCTCAGTTAGGCCTGGAACAAAATGAAAGTGTTTTCATTAGGACCGTGGCAAAAGCTGAAAGCTCTTGTTGAAAACAAAATGACCTATTAGTCATATTATGTAACTTGAATAAAAATGTATTTATGGAATATGAAATGTATTAATTTATTTTTACCTGAACTTATTTGCTTTAAACTGAGGTCATTTGAATGAAAGAATTTAACTATTCTATTCCGTATAATTTCCGTTACTGTGAAGATTAGTGTATCTTAATCCTCAGTTCTTAGCAGCTTAAACAGTGAGATGGTTCATTCATTCAGTTTTCAACGATGCTGCCAAACCGGGATAATGGTTAGGGACTTTTGACTGCCGTACGGAAAGGCCCGGGCCAAATCCCGGAGAAGGCATGAATATTTGTAAATGTATAGTGTCTTTGCGGTATGGGGGCACTCTAAATATTAGGCGAGCCGAACTTTTATTCGAGAGGTTGTTAGTAAGGGAAGAGGGGGGTGAGAGATCCTTGGACCCCTTCCCTCGGGGCATGGAGGTAAGAAAGGGAGGAGGGGCCATTCCGCCCTAGAAGTGAAGCACTGCTTTGAAGCTTGGGTCACCAGACAGGGTGTTCTTTGTTTACATTCAGAAGCTCGCTTGACAAGATTCTGATAGTATTTCGACACACGACAGTTCCATAGAAATCGAAAAAGGGACACTCTCGCGTGAAAGAAACATTCATGGTGTAATGGATAATAGCAATTTGTATAGTTTACTGACATTTACGCAAAAATCACATCTTGGTTATTTTTCGATAACTAACAACAGCGATTTTGATTATGAATTTGTTTTATAAAATTCTAAGCTGTTGCACTACAAAAATATAGATTTTAAGAAAATTGCTAAAAGAGATCTGCCAAAATTTATTTTCTAGAAGATTTGAAAAGTTTGAAACTTGATGGCGAAAAATATAGTGAATGCACAGAAATTAAAGATTTGCACATGCCGGAAATGATAAATAGGAAATATGTATGGGTATTTATGCATGTGCTTGCAAAAAGCATGTATCTGCCTTTGACAAAATACTTAAATATTCATTAAATTATTTATAAATGTATTTGAAATGAAGAATTTATTCACTTATAAACAACTGTGAAAGTACTGTGAAGAAATCTAATGATTAAATGTATCTAATTTATAATGATTATAAATGTTATCTAAATATATAATAACCTTAATATTGAATTGTAAACATAAATTGAAATCCTGTTGACAAATACGTTATAAAACTATTTAAGCAAGAATTGTTCGTATTGGAAAGCAATCTGTTAAAAGGTATTGTAAAGCAAATGCTATGAGATACGCACTTAAGAACGTAATAAAGAGTTTTGGAATATGTATTGTTGAAATGAAGGGTAAAAAAAAAAAAAAAAAAAAAAAAAAAAAAAATCTGATAAGTATAATTAAAAGAATTATTCCCTTTACATTTTATAATAACTCAGTTACAAGTTTTAAATAATAAAAAAAAAAAAAAAACTTATTTTATTCCCTTTCAGAAATGTTCAGAGAAAGTCAAATACTATTTAATTCCTAATAATTCTCTAATTTAAAATGAACCGAATAGAGCATTAATTATAAATTGACTTACATTTTTCGATTTAAAAGAAGCCAAAAAAATCATGTCATATTTAAGAAAGTATTTTAGGAAGAAGCTCTATAAATAGAAAAGAAATAATGCATAATTTTAATATTAATAATACAATAAACTTTGATGTTAATTTTTGTACCTTAACCGAATAAAACCGAATTACCTTAATTTTTTTTCTAATGTAATTAACGAAAACTTGTGAAAATATTTCATTCAAATTAAACCATTCTGAGAAAAATGTCCTGTGAAAAGTATAGCATTTAATTCCGTTCAGAATGAAATGTTGTTTAAAAATATGTTGTTTTCACATACTTAGGACTCTTAAGTGTTGTAGAAAAAGAAAATATATACATTTATATGTATATTTGCGACGTAATTACAAAATATTTACACCCGAACGCGTCAAATCCCATAGAACTTAATGGTAAATGACCCAATGTTTTGGTCACCACGTAGGGATCGCCGGTGCTTCAGAGCAGGGTACGGAGAAACTTGTTTAGGGCGACTCCTTCTTACTTCCTACCTCCATGCCTCGGGGTGCTTTTCTTCAAAACTTGGGGCGGAACTGAGCAAAGTCGTACTGCCGCCTGTATGGTGTCCAAGGCTCTTACGATCGACAGGCGAAATCTTGCCCCTTCCCACGATGAATTTCGTTGGCTTGTTCTGATATTAGGCAAGCGAGATTAGTCACGACAAGAACAATTCTTAAACAATTTTCGAAAGGATTGGGTAGTTTAGATGGCTAAAAATGCATTAAAAGTATGATGTAATGTTTGAAGATTTTTTAAAAACTTTAATGCTGCAGAAAATTAGCGATGAAACTATTTACCAAAGGAATAAATGCATGTATTGGTGTTAAGGCTTTGTTTGATAGCTTAATCTGAAAATCAAAATAATTTTGCTGAATTTAGAAATTCACATCTAACTTTACTCTAAAAGCTAACGCTTGGATTTATCTCATATTATGTAAAATGCCGAATTTTTGATTCAGTAACATCTTCACATTTCTTCATTCGCTAAAATTCCATCATTATTTTGAAGGTTCATAAGATCTTCGTAATAATATGTCTACGCTCTTAAATATTCATTTTAATTATTTTGACGATATATATCTGTAGATAATTTTGTGTGGTGCCGTAAGATATGATGGGAGCTGGTTGCTGCATAAAACTATATTTGCAGTCATGTGGTTGAACTCTTCTTATTCTTGACCGAACATTTTTTTAAATAAACATATACAGTAAAAGTAGCGAAGGATACCTGCCTGTTCTTTAGTAATTCCAAGCTTAATTTAATATATTTACAGAAAAATGGTTGGAGAAAGAAAAGCCACCATGTGTGAGCAATTCAGAGAACTTATAGTATGAGTGCTGGATTAAGAATAATGAAGTTATGGTTCCGCTTTATTTCTGTTGGTTGACTGAGATTTTGGTTTCAGGTTTTTAACATTGTTATTCGCTACTCAAAATTTATGTTCTGTGTTATTGTAAAAAAAATCTTTAATTCAAAATTTTATGATTTATATTTTCTATATTATATGTATGTTCATTTATTAATGTTTTTTCATATAAAAAGGATTTTCTGTCACCAAGCCTTTTTCTGTTTTAAGGGTGGGGTGAATATGTAAATCAAAATTCTAACTGTAATTTGCAATGTTCCCTTAATTTTCTAATTTGATAAGGAAACCCCTTTTCCATCCTTTTCATAACAGATTCGGAACTGGAAATCAAAATTGCAAAACCACAACCTTTCCCTTTTCAATTAAGCGTCTTCTGAAAGCTTTTCTTCCAATCAACATATATCCTTAACAATTTCTAAATTATTACATGCATAAATTTGATAAGATAGTAGAGAAGAAGGTGTTAGGCGACGTGTTATACCTTCGAAGAAGTTGAGTGTTAAATATTAATTAATATTCGGCAACGAAAAAGCTGATGCATGGGCTAAGAAAGGAACTTTGATAAAGCAACGCATTAATCGGCGGCTTTTCTATTCAGACGATGTGAACTTGACTATTAAGAAAATTCTTAAATAGTGTGCGATTCAACGTGCTCTAGGTAAGAGATGTAGGATTCAGGAGAAAGAGAGAACTTTCATTCCAAGTTTTCCAAGAAAGACAGCGGTAGCTCTGTTTGGACTTCTGACTGAACGTGACTGTTTGCGAAACCACCTCTACAGAATAGGAGTGGTGGATTCCTCAAACTGTGCTTTGTGCGACTCCAGTCACTCTATGACTTTTGAACATTTAAAAAATTGTATTGAACTTTCTCATTATAAGGACATTGTTAAAAGGTACTGGAGAGCTCGTCAACTAATGGCTTAAGAGCTAATGTTTGGCGCTTGTAAATAAATAAATGTTAAATGTTATGAATTATTCGAATTCCTCCAAACATGACTGAGAAATGCTTTCTGTTTGACCAGTTACGTTACCCTTAAGAATAGAATTAGCTGTGTGGTTTTAATCCCATGAATAATTAGTTACACTAGTATGTTATAAAATCACTCAAATTAATTACTTTATTTTCTTTTAGGAGGATGTCCTCTAAAAGAAAGAGTCCCCCAACAAAGCTATCGGCGGATGGGCTTAACAATGGACGAACAGACATGGGTGAGCATTTTCGCTCCGATCAGTCGGATATCGAAGATGTCCTACGAGTCGACTTGGAGGACGAACTTCCCTCCGATCAAATCGGGCAAGAAGATGAGGAGGAACACCTGCTCGATCAAAACGATAATAAAATCCGATACCACCGGAATACTCCATCCTCCGAGGGTCGAGACCTGATCAGCAGACTGACAAGTGAACAGTTTCAGGCTGCTCTTCAGGCCAATAATAATGGTGGTCTGGACATGGAGGGGGGTATTGACTCCCTAGATGTGCCAAACCTTCATTTATCTATGAGTGCAACACCAAGATCACAGAATCCTTTGGACCAAGATCAAGATTCTTGTGACAGTTTAACCAGTGAAGGTGTTTTGGGTACAGAACATTCTCAAGCGGACAATATTGCACCATCATCGAGGAAACATAGGTTACTGTTAAGTGTTTCTTCTGCCAGGTCTGATACCACAACTGATTCAGAGTATGACTCTGAACCTTGTTTAAACGGAAACGAACTTGTCTCCGATGTTAATACATTTCCTTGCGATTTCTTACAAGCTTCTTTGAAGCCAACGAACACCTTGAGTGATGCTAATAATGGCAATCATCCGCACGATTCTCGAGAATCATCTCGGAATGAAAATCACCATCATCATTATCATCATCCATATCATCAACCACAGCAAGAAATGATGAGATCTTATTCAGGGGGACATGGAAAAAGGACAATGGATGATGTGTTGAGAAGGTTATCCTCAAAAATGACAACTAGTGCAACATTGAGAGAACGACAAACACCAGGCCCACCTTCAGTTATAATATCAGAAAGGGAAGATAACGATTATTACAGAAAAAGCCCAACGTCTTTAAGGTAATAAATATTGAGTAGTTATTTTCAATCAGTTTTCAGTATGTGGATAACTGTATAATTCCGTGTTAAAAGCAGTAGTTTTGTAATTTTCGTTTGAAGAAAAACCGTTAATTATAAAGTTCTTAAAAACCATATTGAGTAAAAATATTCCTTTCTAAAACTTAGCCGTGTTTTAAGTCTAATGAGTAATATTGTAAATTTAGGGACTTTATCGTGTTATGTGAAAGTATATATGCAAAGAACTATGCCATATATTTGATGTTCTTATTAGCAAGTGATGTGACTAGCAAGTAACATCTTAGCCTTATTAGCCTTATTAGCAAGCCTTATTAGCAAGTGATGATTAGCATTTTTAAGTGAATGATTAAGGCTTTGATCTTAGGGATTGCTAAATGAAGAGATCTTTTGTAATTTATAATCTGCGTTCAGTTAAATGTAATGCATTCAGTTTAAATGTTTTGATTTTCTCTGCGTTTCTATTTTTCCCCTCCCCCTTTCCTTTTTTCATTACTTTTTCCTTTTTTTTAAATACAGCAGTATAGTTAACTGTAAGAAGCGTTTTCTCATTCCTGTGTTTAATAAACTGAGATAAAAGTAAAGCTATCGAAAGCAAAGTATTTTAATTCTTTTGCGTACATTGAAAGTTGCGTTCCAGAAGCTTTTACATTGTAGGCTATGGTGGTAATTTATAACGTATTTTAAAAAGGTTCAGTTAATTCTGGTGGGTAACGTATTGAGTATGCTAAGGAGTAAAATTCCTTTCAACCTTTGCGTTATTTAGTCAACATACTTCAGCACATAAGATGTACGAAGCATTGTCAGAATAACTTGAGCTTGTTGACTTCTCTTCTTTTAGACTCTAATGGCGATATTTAGCGTTTATTTATTTTTTTTTTTTTTCTTCTGTTTGTATTCTGTAGATGGTCTTTCATATCCCGAAGTAATAATTATTTGATTTCTTAGCGTACTTGGATTAGATGTATACTGAGAAAATGTAGAAGCACGTTATTCCTTATTACGCTTTGTAAAATAAATATAAAAAGCCATGTGCATAGCTTTTCAAGAGGATTAACCAGATTAACTTTCGATAGCTGAAATTATGGCAGTTTCGTTTACCAGGCTTGAAGTTTCTGACTAGTTCTTAATAATTTTTGTTGAAAAATGAGCATCATTTCTTTCTTACTGTAAGGTTGTGCTGAACGCGGTAGGTTTAATGTATAATAATGTATGTATGTTTCCATGATTATGTCTTCAGCGCCTCCGTTTGAGAAGGATTTTGATACGATGAACATAGACACGGTTACTTATTAGCTTTCTATGTTGAAGACCATGGAAGACTAACACTTGAAAAAAAAAAAAAAAACAATCCCAAAGCAATCTAAAATAAACCAATTAGACGAAAAGAGGACAACGTTTTTCAATTAAAAACTACTAGATTAGTTTTTTAATTAAAGCTATTATCAATGTTGTAATGACATCTGAGAAAAGATTTACAGTACCATACAGATGTTTTCATAGCTGTTAGTTCCTGTCCACTATTGTCGTGTTCTGCCACCTTTTCATTTACCCAAGTCACCATTTCTCTTTCCTGTCATTTGAAAAGATGGAAAGGCAATATATACTTGACATTATTTTCGATTTTTCTATTGTTGGTCATAATTGCAATTGGTTTCGGCTTTTCTTAGTAAAGCTGATGTTCGAAAGGCTAGATTCTTCCACAGTGTATGTAGAACTTATTTCGGAGAGCATGAATTGCACATGGTTTAAAACCAAGCTGTATGATAAATGCTCTCAGAATGCCAATTTCCTAAAAAGAAAATAATAAGAATTATAATTTGAGTTCCGAGAAGTAATTTTTTTGCAATAAATTCCAATTTATTTGCAATAAATTTTAATATGTTATTAGTATTCATTAATTTTAAGTTTCATGAATTTTAAAAATTTATGCCAATTTAGAGCCCCAGTATTGCTGAACTTGATTTTATATTAATATTGCCGCCATGCTAGGCGAGATTTCCGAATTATTAAAATTACTGTTAATTGAAAACATGTTTAGAATCAAAATTGTAAACATTGGCATACGCGCGTTTCTATTACAGAATTCAAAACTAGCCCGTTGAGTGCTACAAGACAGACGCACGTAAAAATTGAATAAGTAAACATATTCAAAATGAAAAAAGTTGTATGTTTTGAATATGTATATGTATTTTGTTATGTATATGTAAAATAGTAAAACTGGATATCTTAAAATTATGTCTAAAAGGCTGCATACATTAGTGAAAAAATAAATCTTTAATCAAATGACAGATCATTTAATTGTTTTATTGTTAATGACTACATCCGACTAGAAATTTATTTTAAGAAATAAAGTCATTGTCAGAGTACAGTGAAAAATAAGGCATTTCTTTAGAAGGGCAGGAATTTGAGACTAATAGTCAAACGTATTCTGAAGAAGCTTACCATTAAGTGGCTGGTAGTTCGGTCCGAGGTTCGAATCCCGCAAACGGGCTGGCTGCATGGGCGTTTTCGTGGTTTTCCCCATGTGTAACGTGTATACGAGCCAGTTTCCCTTAGAAAGTCCTCCACGAAGGCATCCCTCCCCTTAGGCAGATAGCCCTCGAGGCTTTGCCATAATCACACACACACCATTAAGTGAATTGGTTTCACTGGATTGTATCCACGTTACACATGGTGAAAAACCACGAAAACGCTTATGCAGACTGCCCGTTCGCCTGGAATCGAGCTCATGTCGGTCTTACCAGTATTCAGCGAATTTTGTTCCACTCTGCCGCTATTGGGCTCAGAGTATTCTTAGTGTAGACTTGATATTATTTCTAACCATGTACCCTGTAAAATGATAGGTATTTTACTTAACAATGACTTACCGAAGTCTTTGCGGTTGAATTTATTAGAGCAGTGGTACGGGGTGTGAGAACAAACCTGTCATCTTTGTTTTTATGAAAAAAATTTTAAAAAAATTATTTAAAAGTTTGTTTTAATGTGTTTTGTGATGTGAAGCACGTATACTTATTATACATTTTCAGACTTAGAAGACTATTTTCTTCGAGACAGTTTCTTCCTTTGGCGATTTGCGTCAAAATGTTTAGAACTGTTCACATCTTACTGCGTCGTTCGTTAACCGGAAAACGCTATTTTAAATTTAACCAACTTGTATTTTGCTGCATTCATCCTGGAAAAATCTGAATTTGCAATACATGGGACATCTTTACAGCTTCAGGGCTTCGGAAGCTTTCTTTTTAAATTTCTTTCCTGTCAACAACAGAACGTCAAAATTGCTCGCGCATCTATTTTTAAGTTGTTATTCTTATGGACAAGTGCGAAAACAAGCCTGAAATCGGCATTTGCGTAGCCTCGATTACTTTTTCTTCACTCCATTTTTTATCCACTTTGGAAACAGAAGATAAGTGTTGGAAATTGCTATTCGTTGTGTGAATGAATAAAAATGCCTTTCCTATTTTTATGTAATTTGAGAGATCATAGGAATTGTTTAGCTTGGGATTGTTTGTTTTTCCGTTGAAAAATTCTCGTTGCAGCAACAAAGATTTAAAAGTATATACGAAGGAAAATTAAAATTTTTACTCTTAATGGGAGAGAGATTTGAAAAAGATTTCATTTTATAAGGCTCTTTGATGATGACGCAAATATTACAGAATTTATGAGACATGGCTTTTTTAAGATTCCGGGACCAGAAGTAAAAAGAAACCTGCGAAAAAGAAAGGAAATACATTCCTCAACTTTCTGATTTTTAAGATAAGAAAGATGAGAGCGATGGTGTGAGAAAGAATTATTGTGAGAGGTGGGGAATTGAGGCGTATGGGTTTGAGTGTTAACTGAGTAGAGCCAGTTGGCTCGGTTCTGGTGATTATTTTCCCACGGAAAAATTTTTTACCCTCATTTACAATAGCTGTACTCTTTCATTCTGGATATTTAAGTATCACAGCTTATAAGCCGTGCAGCATGTTAAGGGCAATTTAAGCTTAATCATTTTTTCCTTGTTAGGTTTTACATTTACCTGAGATAATAGTGTGATACTAGAGCTATGTTTCTGAACGATTAATGTTAAAATCCATATTAACTGTCAAGATGTGAACTTACTTTTGCTACTCATCTGATTATTAAGAAGGTAAAATAATGCTTCACCCTATAATCTGATACATATATAATAATTTAAAGTGCATGTTTCTGTTAGAGCTGCAGAAGTACACTCTGCGCCTCCCCCCCCGAAAAAAATGGGGATGCTTCTATATCTTTTGTTCCACTGGGCAGATTGACGAAATTTATTTTGCTTTTTTTTTATATCCTGAAAGTACGACTTAAGGTATATATTAGATTTATATATAGCATTGTTCTAACGTAGGTGTTTTGGCACAAAATCGAACATTTTCTGGCATGATATACCAGAAATCCCCCCCCGTATTTATATATATCCCCCTCCCCGTATTTCAATTTTACCATTAAAATTATCCCAAATTGCCCAGTGTCATAAAAATCTCACAATTTTAACTAATTGATTCTCGAAATGTTAGCTTCTCAATGTTAGTTGAATACGGTATACATCTATTAATATCTCTTTATTAAACTTAATAGGTTCCTTCTTTCAAAATTCAGGTTCAGTCTAAATAACATTTTCAGATATTTTCTGATTTAAAGTTTGTATTTTTTTAGTGAATTTTATAAGTTTTTCGAAAAAAAATTTAAATTATGGCCTATAAAAGTTTTGCCATCACCTTAAAGTATTTCTAGGCATACCTGCAAAAATTAAAGAGTTTTTTATTACAAATTTCTGAAGATATACATGATTTTATATGTTGGCGCGTTTTGAAATTTAGCATATTTGTTATAAGCGATAATAACGCCAAATGTGGTTTACGCAGTTTGTTAAAATAATTTGAAAGAATGATTGATGCTCCTTTTTTTTCCGCTGGAGCGCAATAAAACAGAAAGAAAAATAAGTTACGAAAACTTAAGAATTTTTACCATGTGAAAATTAAGGATCGTGCCAGTTCGTGGCTCAAATAGAAAAAAGTGCACAAAGGTAAATTTTTAAATTTCCCGGGAAGTTTCTCACCAGATTTTACAAAATGTAATATTTAGGCATAATTTGAGTCGTAGAATTGAAATATGAGATATCATTTCAGAAGTCCGATTTTGTGTCAAAATACCTACGCTAGGGTAGTGTTGTATATAAATCTAATATATATCTCAAGTTGGGATTTCGAGACATGGAAAACGCGAACTAAATTTTGTCAATCGGCCCAGTAGAACGGGAGATACAAAACTGGCCCCCCATTTTTGTGCACAGTGTACAAGTTAATGTAATCATGTCTTCTTGTGTTAGGAAAGAATACGTTTCTTATTTATTGTTCAACTCCCGTAACTTTGTAAATTATGTCCTCTCTCCTTACCGCGTGCTAGTAGTGGTCCTGCTAGTAGTTGGGTGGTCCGGAGTTCGAATCCGAGCGAAACAAAAATTCACTTAATTTTTCGGTTTCGAAAAACTTCTATATAAGTCAGCATGTTAATTGATTAAATTTTTACAAAGAAATTTTTAAACTGAGTTTTAAGCATAAACGGTTCAGTTACAAATAAGCTGAAAAGCGCATTTTTTTTTTTTTTTTTTTGTTTTGTTTTTGTTTAAATATATATGTAATATAAGGTTTGAATATTGTAGCTTTCTTTACTTTAATATTCCTTAACCTTTTCCTTTTCAGTATTTCAGAATGTTTACCTATATTTTTTCCTTTCTTTCTTCTTCGCCGACCAACGGTCGAGCAGTAAAGTCACTGAACACTGGTAATTCGACTTGGGATCGAATCTCAGCAAACCTGCCTGCATGGTTGGTTTTCGCGCTTTTCCGCCATGTGTAACGTGGATATGGGGCTGGTTTCCCTTAAAAGGTCCTCCACGAAGGAATCCCTCCCCCCCCCATCGCCAGATAACCGTCGAGTTGCTTTGCCTAATATACTATTAACCTAATCTAACCTTTCTTTCTTCTTCTCTTCCCCCTTTTCATGTTAAATGTAATATTATTATTATGATTATAAATTAATTGAAGTAAGCTTACGTGCAATGCCATCTATCTAAGCGTAATGAGCGGTAAAGTAAAAATTTTGGGGAAAGAGTAGATCCTTCGAGTGCCTTCGTTTGTATGGAAGTGTGGGGTCTTAACTGTTATGATCTGACTGCAAGTGCTCTTTGGCGTAAAGTGAGCATTAAAATCAATCGGGTATGAAACTGAATCCAAATATTTTTTGCACATAGTGTACTTAAAATCAGGGGGAAAAAGAGATTTTTTAAACTTATTTTTTTAATTGTGTTACTTATTACATGTTTATTATTGAAGCTTGTTTATTATTACATTTATTTTGAAGCTGTGTTACTTATTACATTATAATCTTTAGGAAAAATATATAAATATGATCGAAAACTATCTGTAATAATTGTCTCTTAAATATTCACAAGCAAAATATTTATTATACATTGACAGGCTTATAAAGAGCAAGCAGTATAAAAATTTGTATGATTTTTACGACTTGATAGATTAATTGTATCTCTGTTTGTCACATTCTTGCAGGTTACATTGCTCACTTAATATCTTTTTGATTTTTTGAACATTCATAAAACGGTTTTTGTACCATCTTCTTGTCTCGAAAAAAGTAATTCATGATCGTGTTAATATTAATAGTGGATCCATGTAATAAAAAACTCGTAATCATGCTTCTTCAATTATATTAGAAACTAAGCATTGATATAGCCCACATATGCATTAATTTTTATGTGGGAAAAATTAAATTTGGAAATACGTGTTCATAAGAATTACATAAATTAATGAATTCCAAGTAAAATCTTTTATATTTAGGTAAGTTTCGTCTTCTTAAATTAGATGTTATGTGATGCTATTTATTGTTGAATCAGTACAGAAGAAATAGGAAATCTTATATGATTTAAATAAATTTTGGAATTAATAAATCGATGAATAAGAATTTATGCGTAAGTAAATTTTTATTTTTGTATGTATGTATTTACATGTATTCTGTATTCCTTAAGTCTGCTTGGCTAATTACATGTATTCCTTAAGTATGCTTGGCTAATTTAAGTGTTTATATGTATCTACGTAATATTAGGCACTTGTAAATCTTATTCTGATATTAGATAAATCTAACTGCAGACTAATCCCTCTTTATATCCCATATTTTTCCACGGCTTGAAAAATGTAGTGTAAGATGCTGAATAGACATATGGGTAAAATAAAATAGTATTAATACGCAGAAGTTTGTTTTCAAGCCAAATTATTGGCAAACTTGTGATGAAGCCCTCCTCTACTTCCAGAAACAATTAAATATATTTTTCTGTGAATTTAAAAAATAAAATTTAATTTGCTATACTTGAGGTAAGTATTTGACTGTGTAACTTAGTTATCACACTAACGGTGACTCTGTGATTCTCCATATTATTTTGTTATCCAATATTAACGGGTTCAGTACTAATGGGTCCATTTTTCTTAGTATTCCTCAACCACAAGAGTCACCACCTCCACCGTCTACTGTTCAAACAAGCAAAGAGGGGCCTTCCCAGCCTGCGGCTAATACGTTGAGCATGATGGACAGTGACAGCCTCCGTTTAGCCTTGTCTGGGGACAACATCAGGGAAAAAGAACGCTGTCTTACAGACATGATCAACCAATTACAACAACTCAAAGAACAGTTGTTGACCCAACAACAGCAGAATAATCAGGTAGACATATATGAATTTCATTTTGATTGCTGTGCTCTTTATTATCGAAGAACTTTTGAAAGTATTTTGTTGTAAATTACTTTTTTTGCAGAATAATCGAATGGACATCATTTTGAGTTTCATTTGATTGCATGTCGTTTATTTCATAAAACGTATTGAAGGATATTTCGTTTCAAATTAATTTCTTTGTGTTTCTTATCCTTTTAACAGGGTCCCTCTGAATGGGAAATTTTGATTATATTATTACATGTTTGACTTTTCCTGTTCGCGGACAAATCATTGTGCTTACATCTTTTGTCTCTTGCATGCTGTCTCCCTCCCTTTCTAGGTTCTGCCATGATTTAAGATTTTCTGAACTAATATATCGTGTGTGCTCAATACCTACCTACACATAACACTGCACTGGTTTCATTTGAAACTGCAAAAAGAGTTAATATCATGCACTTAAGAAATGTTAAAATAGCCGATTAAAATCTAAGAAGTATCAGGTTTTGGCTATTCTTAAAAGATTCCCCCCCCCAATTCTTCATACGTATGAAATAATACATTTACGAATGAAAATCATATGTAATATACTAAGCATTTATTTTATAATGAAGGGTGGCGTTACTTTCATGTACATTCATTCATGGCGTTAATTTCGTGTATTCATTTTATATTGAATGGTGGCATTATTTTCGTTTGCATATGGAAATTTAATTATTATATCATTTTTCGTATGGAAGGTTAGTCTGTAGTAATCCTTTATGATGAAGGTAGGCAAGCAAATTTTTTTTCGTATAGATTATAAGAGATTGCATATAGTCTGTTCTGTAAAACCTTATATATCTTCGGAGCCACTGTTCTGTAATGGGTTCAAAACGTTATAAACTGCAAAATTTGCATAATCAGTAATTTATGCTTTTATATTTTTTAAGAAGAGTACTCTGTAGTTGCCGTGTGTTATCACACATAAGCTTTAAAGCATCTGTTGCGTTTTCTTAGGACAAAGCTTCGAAAATAACGAATTTAATTTCATCGAAGTGTTTTCAAGATGGCTATAGAAGAAATGCGCTAGATTATACGATAAAGCTTTCGTCATTCAAGCAAGATTAAGATGTTCATCTTTTGGAGTGTATTTCACACTCATGTTATGTATTTAACGTTATTATCGAGCTTTAAAAGTATTTTTTAGACGGCTACCCTTTCTCAGGGCGATTCAAAAATAGGCAGCACAAGGAAAATGTAGGTAGAGAAAGAAGGACGAAATAAGCAAATTTTGCAGACACGTTGAAGTGGTACAGGGTAGGTAAAAACGTTCTGTTGGTGTTAATCGTTATTCCCGTGCAAATTTCGAGCTGTATGCATCGTTACACAAACTTGAAGCTCACCAATATACCTAGCTACCCGAAGGAGATAGTCTAGAATAGTCGTTTATATTTTAAGTAGCTACTCCGTTTTAGTTGAACGGGTAAAATACGTGTCGATGAACTTCAGTTCGTATGGCAATGCATACCAATTTGCAGCTCAAAATTCGTGCGGAGAATAAAGATCTTATCTAGCAGTTACTTACCGTTCAACAGCTCCTTCCCCCCAAACGCGTCATTTCGCACATACACTCTCTCCCGCTTTTCGGCCCTCTCTACCTTCCTTCCACTTTTGCCCAACATTTTTTAATCACCCTCTATATCACTGAGACTAATTCTGTTAAAGACCGCTGTCGTGCAGTATTTTAAGGATTTTGATTAATCAGTGATTTTACAGAGATTATTCTTGAGTTTTTTTGTTAAAGCAAAACGTGTAAAGATCATTCGATTGTTCTTAATGTTTGAAAACTAATTAAAGCTTGGTGTTGGAGCGTAGTTATCGACGATAATATAGCCATTTATACACATTCTCGTAGTTGTTAGAACTCTATTTAAACGGTTGAATGAATATTTTTCTGTAGAAAATATGCTTTAACGACGATGACTGCCATAACGAAGGGCTCGTGTTCGAATCCCGGTAAAAGCATGTATGTTTTAAAGCGGATAGTGCCTTTGCGACAAGAGGGCAGTGAGAATGGCGAGCCGAAATCCTTTCTAGCGATTAGTAGTAGGGGAGGAGAGGTGGGAGACTCTCGGCCCGCACCCTGGACCCACCATTCTCTCTCGGAATTTCCTCTGGCACGGAAACATAGCAGTTACCTAGCTTTGCTTTAACTTGTACGTGCAAAAAGTATGCTGTATTCTAAATTTGCTATTTTAACTTTTAATATTATGTCGCATATCTGAGATTTACTAACTTTTATATGCGCATTCAACATTAAATAGCAGAACTGTGCCTCAGGTTTCAGGCAGATCCCCGAGTTACGTAAACCTAGATATTTTTACCCCATTCACGTTAAATTTGGTTTATTATAATTTTAGTTTTGCGCCTCATTTCTTTACTTTCCTGAGGCAGGTGTTTCACTCGCTCAAACTTTGACACGGTTGTGTTGAATAGTAATGCTTAAGTTGTATTGAATAGTAATGCTTAGTTTTAGGTTTACTTAAAACTGAAATTTACTTTAAAATTTAATTGTTTTGTTGTAAAATAATTTACAGCTAATTTTTTTAAATATTTTAAATTTAGTTTTAATTTTTAAAATATTTTAACTTTTAATTTTAAAGCATTCAGTGATTGTATTTATGGCTTTCATGGAACTGTTTTACGAAATGATAATTTTGTTTCAACATATTTTGAGTCTTCGTAATTTCTAAATTCGCAGAGTTATTTAAACTTAGTTTTCCAAAAACTAAAGTAGGCTTTGTAGGCGAAATGTAAAGCAATACTATATAAACTTCTTTTTTAAGTGTTTGGTTTATTTAATAACGGCAGAGCACTCCAGGGCTCTCTACCTAACGGGAGGGATGCCTTCGTGGACTACTTTCCAAAGGATTCTTGCTCGTCTACAAGTACGTATGGGGGAAAATCACGAAAATGACCATGCAGTCATTTCTTTCGCCGGGATCCGAACTACAAGCGTTCAACGACTTTACCGCCCAGCCGCTAGTCGGCGTCATTTCTGTTAAGGGAATGAAGAATACCGATTAATTTTCTTTTCGCAGTGACGAAAGTCATATAGTTTGAAAGTGTTTAAAATTTGGCTCTTTTAAAATTCTGAAAACTGTTCATCGGAAGGACAATTAGAAAAAAGGAAATTCTCCAAGTACTGGAGAAAAATTTGTTTCTAGATCAAATTGATTTACAAAACAACTTGTATTTAATTTTTTTAATGCTTTTTAAATCAAATCTGCCGCTTAGTATGTATTAAAAAGAAAAGTCTGTTTCGGAGGTAAATAAATGCTTTTTTATACTATTACTGTTATTTTGTAGCTTTACATCACATTGCAAACTGAAACGAATCCATTAAAAATAATGAAAAAAAAGTTTTTGTTTGATAGAGTGTACGCTGACATATTTCCTTTTTTTCTCTCAGTTCAGTATATTACACAGTAAACTTACTGTTATTTTAGTAAATCCATACACAAAAATGTACTTTGAAATATAATGGATAAAAGAGGTGATTTTTTAATGAAGAATAAAATTTCGTATTGTATTTTAAATTTTCGTTGTTTCATATGTAGCTCAATTTTAGTTTACTAAATGCATAACGAAAGTTTTAAAGTGAAACACCAAATTGAGTTTAAAAATCGTGATATGTATTCTACAAGGTGATTCAAAAGCGGCGCAAATCAAACTTAAAAAGTAGTGAAATTCTAAATTGGATATTATTGGCAAATTTCTTCAGTAAATGCGCAGTTGTGTCATTTCTGTACACTTGCGGGTAACAGGCTGCGATTGAAATTGTCTGAGGTGTCATTCTTTGAAACAATTTGCCATTAAAAATCGTTTTTGAAACGTCCACAATTTTTTTTAATTTCATTTGCGCTACTTTTGGATCACCCTGTACAAGATGAGCGATAACAATTTTGATAAGTTATTTAAGAACTAAATGCGATCTACAAATACATTTCATCTTATTTTTAATGCTGCAAGGTAATTATATAAACATGCTTTCACTTATATGCAGTGCCTACGATGTTGTCCATTTTATTGGTTTTGTGGATAATATTTGGTTGCGTATTTAAGATGCACTTTTTCTTTCCGAATTTCCATTAAGGCAAAGCTATTTTTTCATTATTTGGGAATGAAATAATGAACCCAAAAATAAATTATTAGACTTTTCTGGAGCAAAAGTTAAGATTAGTACTAAGAATATTAATAAAAGAGCTTAATTATAAAAGAACAGAAAATGTTTGCAATGTTTCTTTCGATAGCTCATAAAATCTTGTCAAAGAAACTCGAATTTTCACTTAAAAGCCTTCATATAAAATGCTCGTAAAAAGAAATGCTTTCATATAAAATTTCATTCTTTCATATAAAATGCTCGTAAAAAGGAACTATGTGCCAGTGCGGCACAGACTGGCATTAGTGTAAAGCAGTCCGCAATATAAAGCATTCAGAAGTATGCAGAACGTGAAATTCTGCTGAGAACAATGAAGTAAACTGAATCTTCCTTCTTAGTAGGTTCAATATAATAGTTGTAATTAGAGCATTATTTCAAAAATGTTTGCGTTTCTTTAACGTACAAAAATTTGACGATATTTAGCCAAAGTTAGTTTCGAGTTTTCTTAGCGAGTTACCAACTTCTACACAATGAAGTATATAAAAAGAAAAACATTTGCTACCTGGTACCGTATTCTTGCGTGTATAAGCCTCACCTCTAGTTTTATCGTTAAAAAAAAAGAAGAACACGCTGTCTACCATCCAATATTTTTTTCGTTTGGAGGTGTGAAAGCTGCTAAAATGAAAACAGAACCGCACACTGAGATAAAATTTTTATTATCGGTCAAAAGGAATGTGTTTCTATGCTTAGCACCTGTTATTCGCTGTCATTGTCTACCTGCGTCGCCATTATCACTATATCTGGTACCGGTATCCCACATCTCACCAAGACCCACAATCGCAACTAAACTTGTACGATCCTATATAACGTT